AGATTGTACAGATGTTTAAACAGCAACTAGATGCATACTTCCAAAAATATAATATTCAAGGATATGTACCTTCAGCTGGGGGAGTTGCACACTCCTCGAACTCCACCTTCACCAGAAGGTTGAGCTCCTTGCTCTCCAGCTCCGGCGTCACTGCATGTTGGGGGCAGAGGCCAGCAGCACTCTGTTTCAATGCCAGCACTTCAGCTAGGATGGTGCTGTACTCCTCAAGTTCCACCATCATTAAGGGATGTCCTCCCTGCTCTCAAATTCAGGCGTTGCTGCAAGTTGGGGGCAGAGGCCAGCAGTGTGCTGTCCCGATGCCAGCGCTTCAGCTGGGGTTGAACGTTGCCTCTGAGGAGGGAGACCAACTACCTCTATTCCTAGGTACTCAATCTGCTGCAGGGGGGAGGCTGACAACCTCTACCTCTGCTCCTTAGGTTTCCATGCCAGGGCTTGATCAGGGCTGGCTCCCCAATATCCATGTGGTTCAGGTGTGGAATATACAATTCCTTCCACATCTACCTGACCAACATACTCAGTTGTAAGGTCTATTAAATCCACAGTCTCTGGTACCTGCTGCTGTGCAGAGTCAAACAATTGCCTGTAATCCTGTTCAAGGTAGGTGAGATCAGGTTCCAGGTCTGTCGCTTCAGATAGATCCAGGAAGTCTCTCCTAAGTTCCTGGATGTCCCTGTGTCAGAAAACAGCAGGGCTCCCACAATCAGTCCCCTCATCAAAGGCCTCCCACAATAGGCCAGGGCCAACATAGTCCACCATAAGGCCCGGTAACTATTGTCCACCTACAAGTTCTCTCAAGTTCAACCTCCCTTTCCTCCAGGGGCTGCTCTCCCAGGAAATGTATCTGCAGATCCAGTTGATCATGAAGTTGCTGTTCTGGGGTTGGGAGGGATTCCCTTCCGGAGATCCTGAACTTCCTCAAGTACCTCGTTCCAGAGTTCCTTTCGGATCTGGTCCCTAAAATCCAGTTCACTCTCTCCCAAGACTGTGTACTCATACTGAGACAGAGCTTCCTGTAGTCTCCTCTGGAACTCCTCCTCAGATGGGGACGCTGCACTGGTGATAGTTAAACTCTGTGAAAAGCTGTTTAGGGCATATAGTGGCTGTCCTGTAGACAGCCACTAAAGGCAATCTTTAACCTTTAATATAACATTGCAGTTTCTCTTTTATATTGCAGGCATAAGGGGACAGGGACATTGCACCCAGATCACTTCAATGAGCTGAAATGATTTAGGTGCCCATAGTGTCCCTTTAACTACGAGTGCAGTTGCTCTTTGATTGAAGGTAGATGGATGTAGATGTTTTTAAGGACTTTAGACTGGTGGAAGAGTTGATATCCTCTGGCAGGTTATTCCACATATCTTGAAGCTCTGAAGGAGAAAGTTCCTCAACCAACCTAACTTTTAAGGAAAGTAGCAGGAAGTAGAATTGGGAACTTAAAAGGCAGTAGAGGTCATAAATCAGACATGTAAGGCAAAGAATATATCTGGATTGCAGTTAGCCAGTATAGGCCTCTATTTCATATATTGGGTAAGCTTTTAAAATAATTTAATACTTTTGGGTATACATTTAAATTGACTGATATTTTATTTATATTTAAAAGTGTATCCGAAAACATTAAATCATTTGAGAAGAACAAATTAGACAGAAGGTTGAGTTTAGTGAGACGTCTTTTTCAGTGAAGAAGATGCATAAATTAAACCCTTATAGTCTATGGCTTGTATTAGCATTAACTTCATAAAGCATTTTCTTACGGGAGATCTACGCGAATTCAGATAAGTTTCAGATAAATTTTCAAGTCCCATTTTTAAAACTGTTATATACAAAGTACAAATCAATAATGAAATAAACTAATGTAAGAAACAGTTTGTGGTTTCTGACTTAACTTTTTTTTTTTGCTAAGGTTTTAAAATAAAATGTCATTCTTCATTTATACCCACTCCTGCCTCTTGTCAGATCCAATTTTTATATTCTGTAAAACCGCAATTGTTTATGTTACAAAAAAAAAAAGAATTTCGAAAATTCTAAGAAATGTACATAGACTCAATAATTTTGACTATGAAGGAATGTCACACAAACATAAAGTAAAGAAATATAACCAATGTTTAAAACACTTAAAAGGTGTAATTAAAATGATCTAGAAAATAAGTAACTCAGCCTTTCATTCTTTCCTTACTTAAACTATACGTTGCTTGTATGAACTTGAACAAATGTCAAGTCTCCGTGATCACAGAAAATATATATTTTTTTACGTTGTAAATTAGACATCATTACCGTTACAATATCAGTCACTCGTCCTGCTGAAAAGGACTGAAAGGAAATATTTGCAAGGGGAAAGGGAATAGTCTGGCATTAAGCCATAACATAACATAACACCCTCTCACTTACTTGCAAAGCAGTTATTAGAAATGTCAGCAAGTTGACTGCTATTAAAGTACACTTAGAGGCTTCAAAGTATGTTTTATGCATATGATTGAAAAGTGGTGTGCTCACTATTCAATATCATTTCATGCATTAAAATTAAAGACTTGCAAAGAATTTGTACCACAGTTGAAATAATTTGTTTTGGAATTCACACCATTTTTTTTTAAATGCTTTGTAGTTTCGTTAAGGATATTAAATAAAATGATGTTTATATCTATATATTTTCTGTATTTTATTGTGCGTTGTAACTGCTAAATAACATAATAGAAATAAGCTAAACTAAACAAAAAAGTTAAAGAATTTTTATTTTTGAAACAATTATTGTCATGAAATAATAATATGTTGCGTGTGAGGTATTTCAATATCTAATTACTTAATAATTGGTAGTTAGTGATGTGCCGAACGGTTCGCCACGGATGGCGAACATATGCTCTGTTCGGTCCGCCCCCTATTCGTCATCATTGAGTAAACTTTGACCCTGTACCTCACAGTCAGCAGACACATTCCAGCCAATCAGCAGCAGACCCTCCCACCTCCTGGACAGCTCACTAAGAATGCAGCTTCACAATGAATGTAAAATGGATGCTGTCCAGGAGGTGGAAGGGTCTGGGAGGGAGGGTCTGCTGCTGATTGGCTGGAATGTGTCTGCTGACTGTGAGGTACAGGGTCAAAGTTTACTCAATGATGACATAGGGGGCGGACCGAACAGCGTATATGTTCGCCGTCCGCGGCGAACCGTTCGGGACATCACTATTGGTAGTACATAAATTATTTCAATCAAGGAAACCATTCATTCATTAAACAGAGATTCTGCTATAACACGTGTTCAAATATTGCTGCAGCATAAAGTTGGCGTATACGTGAGATTATGCCCTATCCGTAGTTAATTCAGAAACGCGTTGCATGTTAGTGTTACTATACTGGATGTGTGTTCTTCCATCACTATTTTTGTCCTTACCTTCTTTAACCCCGTAAGGACCAAACTTCTGGAATAAAAGGGAATCATAACATGTCACACATGTCATGTGTCCTTAAGGGGTTAAAGAAACAATCCACTATAACCAATACAGTGTGCTCTGCCCCGCTCACATTGTAAGCAGTCAAACTGTTTGCTATAGATTTGACGTCTTACCTGGGTCCACCAGGTGCCAGACCCTGCCTCTCCTCTTCTAACTCTGTTAGCTCTCCTAAACCCTACATTCTCTGTCTGGGGAGTGTCAGAGACTGACAATAAATGGTTTGACTACTTACTGGGGGTGGGGGGCACCATGGCACCGGTGCTTCGAGTGTTCCTTTAAGCAGTGATTTATTTATAGATCATTCTAGTAAAAAAAATTATTAGCTATAACAAGGTTTTCAAAAGTATAACATACACCGAATGACTACATTGAGTAATGCAGCGAAAACCTGGGGATCATCTGCAAATGTGTATATGATTTTTTTTTTGTTTTTATTTTTAGCATATCACAGCATCACCTTTATTCATGCAGCTATATAGCCTATAAAATACAGCTGTAAAAGACCATTGAAACTCATCAGATAGAAAGAAGAAACAGACGTACACACATCTGGACTCCTCTGAAGGTCATCTTTGATCATGCAGTTCTGACAGGTGGCAACAATTTCTCTATCTGCATTGGAGTCTGATAGGTTGATGTCATAATCTTGATTACAACAGAGAAACCACCACGTTTAAAGCAAGAATAATACATTTTTAGTACAATAGCATATTTCTCAACTCATTTTACTTAGATTGCTCCTGACTTTTCACAAATAAATGTATTACTATATATAATCAGGAGTCTGGTGAATCCTCAGATCTCTTTTCAATTTGATGCATGTGACTTTGTGCAGTTTTTCGCAGACTTGCTCCGCTGGCCCAGGCAGGCCCAACCATGCCTAATTGGAAACGGCCGCAGTAGTCCCTGCTTTCCCAGCCACTAGACACCAGGGAGTGTATTCCAGTCTCCACTCCTCCAGCCACCAATGTTTATGAAGGTAGAACCCACTAGGCAGATTTGGTGACATCGTGTGATTGTGACTCTGTATATATGTGTCTATGTAACTATAAATGTGTGTGCATGTAACTATGTGTGTGTGTAATCGATTACCAATAGAGTCCTATCTAACAGTTAAGGGCTCCATTGCTTCCATAGTGACAGAAAGAGCATTTTTTCCATTTCATGTCTCAATTAGTATAATTATCAACTCAAATAAATGCCTCTCTGAATCTGGGGATCTCTAAAAATGTTAAACTTTTATCAGAAATGAAGTAAGGCTTCACATGGAGAGTAGTACCCATGATATGTTATATACGATTATACTAACAAATCGCAAAACTTCCAAAAGTGCTATCTGACCCTAGTAATCTAGAATTAATCTTAAGAAAAAAAATAAACCACTGTAAAATACATATACACAAACAATTAAAATCAATGTAGAGGGCGGGGCCGGGCCGCCGAGCTGAGCGGTCGCAGGGAAATTCACCTCCTGTAAAAACACGATTTTGCTTGCTCACTTCACCTATAATGGCGACCCTCTATGGGAAAGGGCCACCTATGACCAGCGGGACCCTCCTGGCGGTGAGTGGAGAGGACGGCCGCCAATCCACTATCCCGCCAAACGGAGCCCGACAGCCGCACTGCATCTGTGCGGACCGAGTCGTGGTCCCCCCTCTGGGCCGGAGGGGTGATCCTGGTCCTCACCCCACAGCCACACCCGGAGGCTATATCACACCAGGCTGCGGCGTAGGCCCAAAACCCAAATCCAAGATGGCTGAAGCCACGAATGGAAGAGCTGACCCACAGAGCCTGAAACAGATCACTGATCTGAGCCGCCCAGACACACGAGAGAACAGGCAGCGAATAAGCACCACAGGGCCCCAAATGGACAACTACCATCAGAGGCCGATGGGAGAAGAGGAGGGGAGACGCAAAATAAACAACGCCGCGTCCCTCACCAACACACCAAACCACACCTCCCACCCAACGGTACCTCAGAAACAACCCCCCCCAGATTACGAACATGCAACAGGACTGTGAAATCCCTATGGAAGGCATGGAACGAGCCGCAGCACAAGGAGAAGACGAGCAGACACACAGCACCCGCACTGATTTACAACAACGTCAAGTAGACTTACGAGAACTACAAATCATCAATGACCCAATCTCATGGAATATATTCGTGATGAGGCAGCACACCGGCCCATTAATCAGGACTCCCTCAGGTCTAGACGAGGCCGCGAGGCCATATAACTGTCTTGGGCCGGTTCAGAGACACTTAGAAAAGTTAGATATACTTTATCAACTACAGTGTTCAGTTGTCCCTCGATGTGCCTGTGTCACTGAACGTTTGGGGGCTATTATTATTTTAATTGCTATTATTTTCACTGTTACCTTCCCTACTACCTTCTTTAACGCTCCTCACACTCCCGACAACCACTACCATACCCTCAAGCAACAGACATGTCCGCGCAAACACACACAGACTGGAGGGCACAGCTCACATTAAACAACTACACAAGGCTCTGTACAGACACATGTCACAGCAGACTACCAGACCGCTCAATCTTAAACACGCGCAGGGCTCCTACTACTGATGGCCTGGGTTGACTGACTTAAGCCATTGACCCACTCTACCTGAAAGCAACACGTTTATACAACGATGCCTAATCGACTGTCATTCCTGACATAATAAAAATGTGCATATATCGTGTTTACCCAAGCTTGATATAAAAATACAAAAATGTGCAAATTTTCATGCCACCGCCTAACTATTGTAAATCTTGAAACACGCTGTTGTGGCATATGCCAATACCCTGTAACCGCCTGCACATAAAAAATAAAGAATTAAAAAAAAAAAAATCAATGTAGATTTTTGGAAAGATCGATATTACGCATAAGAGGATAACAAAATATGCAAAATTGCAATTATACTCACGTAGGGTAAAGTGCAAAATAGAGTTTAAAAGAGGTTCTCTACTTTTGATCTTCAGGGACGTTCTTTGGGACAAACAAAACGTTTTTTTATTTGTCCTGTAGAAAGTCGCAAACGGGAACTGAAACGTCAGCATTTATGTACTTGGATGTAAATAGATAATGTACCAGCACTTCCAAAATAAAAAGCTTTTACTTTATTATATCCAACAAAACAATAGTTACTATTGAGACCTTTCCTCAGGACAAGAAGGAATGTTCCAGGGTGGTTTGTGTATACATGTGTTACCGAGCATTTGGTATCAAGCATTATATATAATTGGGAAGTTGGAGTGCAAAGTCTAAAGAGGCATAACTTAATCTCTTGTCACCTGGCGCAGAAATCTATGTTGGCATCCCTCAATTTAAACTTTTGTGTGTCTTTTTCACACTCACTTATCCCTTTGTGGGTATCTTCTGACCCTTCTTGTGTGTTTCTCCTAATCGCCCTTTTAACCTTATGTGTCTCTTAAACCTTTCACTTTCTTGTGTGTCTCATAACCCACATTATGACTTCTATATCTCTTAACCCCCCCTTACCTCTTGTCTGTTTTTTAACCCTTACTCTTTTTTGTCCCCACATACATACATAGTGACATGCATGCATACATTCATATGCAATCATACATGCATTCAGATACAAACATGGATACGCAGAGTTACATACACAGGCACACAATGACACACAGTCACAACATAAATAACCACATTATTATACATACACTTACGCATACATTTACCTAGCTATAAAGTCACATACATACACACACACACACGGTCACATACATATAGTCACCCATCCAGACGCACAGAGTTATATAGACACAGTCACACAATAGTCAGTTGCAAAGAGTCAGACCCATACACTATGCAAACACAGTTACACAGGTAGACAGACACATGCACACTGTCACAAACACCACACACAGTCAATGAAATATAGTCATACACATAGTTACAAGCACACACAAAGTTGCACACAGTTACAGGCACATACAGACAGTCAGTCACAGGCACAGTCACAAACATAGTCATAGTCACTGTTAAAAGGACACATGGTTACAGTAACACACACAGTTACAGGCCTGCACAATTACAGTCACACACAGTTGCAGCCACATTTACAGGCACACATTTGTTTTCTTTCTGTCACTATGCAAGGAATGGAGCCCTTAATGTAAATAGGAAACTGTTAGATATAGGACTCTATTGGTAATCTAGTACAGAAATATCATGGTGCTAAAGGCATCACTTCAGTTACATACTAAAGCTAAAGCTTTGGCTGTACAGGCATGTGAAACAGTTCAGCATGTACAATGATGGAAACCCTAAGGTCCTCTCCACTTCGATTCACTGATCATCTATAGTTAGCCATGGTGAGGAAGAGTGGGTAATGGTGCCGAGAGTTATTTAACACCTTGGTAACTCGAGTTTCCTGGGTAGATCAAAAATATAAACTGAATTCTACTCATCATTGTTCCATATCTGGTAACAAATCAGGAGCCACTCCTAGTTCCAAACAAGAAAATTAACATGCATAAAAAAATAATAAACGGCTAAAATCACAGAATCAATAAAGACAAAATGTTCTGTCAAAGTTGAAAATGTACAAAAAGGAAAAAATTAACTCAGGAGAACTAACAGAAATTCCTGTTTAGGTTCTTTCAATTCTCTGGAATTAGTAGTGGAGGCCAGAGGGCAGAGCCCTGAAGATCCCAGATAAGAAGTCAAACCGCTCAAAAACAGTTGGACTGTGTGTGGGGTCCAGGGCACTCGTGGCACCATAATTACTACAGCAAACTGTAGTGCTATTGGTTCTTACAGTGTTCCTTTAAAAAGAAGCAAGAAAAAAATACATTAATATATATAAAATTCACTCTAAATAAAAAGTTATCACATATCTCTCACATCGTTAAATATGATTGATTTTTTAATAAAATACAAAGTAACTTTTCTTACCACTGAACCTTTGAAGATATAATGTATATAATGCATTTCTGGCACTGAATAGGTTAAAGTACACTGCGCACGTGTCTTCAAATATGTTAAACTGAGCAATCTGTGATACAACTGGGCCGAAACTAAACAATGAAGTTCAAGTTCAAATGTAACACTTGTTGAGATAACTCTAATTTCACAACTTGGAGGATCAGCTGCTGTTTATATAAGCATCTGTATATATATTGCAAACAATATAGAGCAATTGTAACATTTCAACGTAATGGAATTCACGTGCAATAACCCAGAACATGTCATGAAAATACGTAAAAGTAAGAAATTTGTAAAAATGAAGCATCTACTTACGCAATCTCTTTCTGTAAACATTTTGTGGTTGGACTGATATACAGGAATTGTTCACTTAATCAGGATTTGTGAAGAATTGTTAGAGAAACTGCCCATTATAGGACAAAATAATTATTTCTACTTTGCTACTTTGAGTGAAATTCACATTCCCCATGACAAACCTTTGCAATCCTTTATTTAGGAAATGAAAGTCTACATGAGAGATACAACAAGATAAAAAAAAAATCAACTGAAATGTAAGAGTTTTTTACAGCCTTTTTTTTCTGCTAACCTTTCAAAGTATACTTAACTTGAAAAAAAGTCCTGGGGATGAACACCATTTTGTATGTGGTCTTTAACTGCTAAAACAGTCAAAATGTTTTTTTTTTTTTATACTAAATATACATATTATTAGCATTAATGCCGCATCAATTTATTCCACAGCACTTTACAATTACTGGTAATATGTTCTGACCTGGATTTGAAAACTCTGTTTGTGTGCACTAAATGACATAGTGAAACATATAAAATACCAAATCTTCCCTAGCCCCACGGTCAAATATACCTTTTCAAGTGATACTTAAAGGGACCCCTGTTTAAATGGTAATGGTACTACCAGGCTAGTGGCTTCTTCCTTTACTTTTGCATCTAGTCTGCCCAATTTTCTAAATACTAAATACATGCATTAGTCCCTGGTCTTTATCTTATAGCTAGGATAGACTTGAGGTTAGGACCATATCAAATATTCTATATTCTGCACTCTTCTTAGGTCCCTGACAAAACACACATTGGGCACATACTACTCTTATTTTCCACTCTTAGTAAAGATAATTTACTATGATACACATTAGTGGTTTAATTTAGGAAGACATAGATAAAGATTTTTAAAGTCTACGTAACATAAGTTATTAAAGAGTATATTTGGGAGCTGGACTGGAACCCTTAACTCGATTTAGAAAGTATAAAAACAATACACCTCTAATTTCCTGCCTCCTAATAAAATACTGATTGAGCACAGATATAATCTAACAACAAGTGATTGTATAATAATTTTAGGGCATCCATTGACTGTGAAATAGAAACCTTGCTTTTCGAGAAGAAGTGCCATTGAACCAAGTGTTTGCAATGTGTAAAAGAGACCTTCAGCTTGCAGTAGTCTAGCCTACAAAAGTGTCTAAACCACTTGTGATCCAGAGGTTGTTTTGATATTCCGTTTTGGATGTTTGTTTGGGATCATGTTTTACCCATCATCTCTAGGTTCACACCTGGTGCAAGTGCGCTCTATGAATGAGATGAAAAGGAACAACAAGCACTGTTCTAAGCCCTGAAAGATATACTGACCAGATGCCAGATATACTGGCATCTGGTGGTGGCTGCATAGTGTGGTTAATAAATAAAACATGTTTTAAGATATCTGGAATACCCGCCTATACCTTTTTTTTTTAAATTAATTCTTTATTTTTCACGTGCAAAGGGTGACAAACAAGCTTGAAATGCCACAATAGCTATATCAAGCTCATTACTAACAATCAGCTCAGGACAGTAACATGGCTTCATATAGACTGCACATTTTATATTTAGTTAACGTTGGACCTGAAGACATTCACAAACTTAGATCATGAAGTAGAGAATAATTTGGCTAAACACTAGCGTGTGTGCTCATCTTGCCACTGTTCCATAGCTAAATGTCCCTGGGAAACATGACATTCTGTGTGCCTGATGTGCATGGTCCGCCTTTGCCGGTATGCGTGGAATGCATGTATGAAAGGGTCAGGTGGCTTGTG